AGTCGGACACTTAACCGACTGAGCCACCCAGGCGCCCCTATAAAAATTTTGTTAAAAAAACGTTAAAAAAATTGCTGCCCTCACTCTCAGCCCTTGCCGGCCATCTTCTCTGCTTTCTCTCCCCCCTTAGCTTTTGGCATCTAGCCTCCCAGTTCTTTTGCTGATTTATTTTTACCTCGGAGCCTCTCTCACTAGGCAGTCTGCTCCCAAGGGCAGGGCTTTTGTATGTAGCTCTGTGCTGCTTCCCGGGGCCTGCAACAGCTGGCTTACGGTAGGGCTCCGAGGATCTCGAAAGGAGCGTGTAGGGCTTCTGGGGGACCGCGAACGGACAGCCTGTGAGCCAGCGGAGCGAGTGCGCGGCAGGCCCGCACCCAGCCTGAGGCGGCGTCCTTTCCCGGCTGCCCCAGGCATTCTCATCACCACCATCGCTTCCAAGGGCGAGCTGCAGATGTGGCCCGAGCTGCTGCCCCAGCTGTGCAACCTGCTCAACTCGGAAGATTACAACACTTGCGAGGTAGGTGACCGGCTGTGGCCTGCCTGGGCGGGAGCCGGGGAGCCCGACTGGGGTTCACATCCGTCTGCCCGCTCCTCTCCACCCAGGGGGCCTTCGGAGCCCTGCAGAAGATCTGCGAAGACTCATCTGAGCTCCTGGACAGCGATGCCCTCAACAGGCCCCTCAACATCATGATCCCCAAGTTCTTACAGTTTTTCAAGCACTGCAGCCCAAAGATCCGGTGGGTGTGGCTTCCCAGGGTGGGGGTGGGGGTCTGCGGAGGGGCTGGGCGTGGGCGGAGTCAGGGCCGACCCATGTTCCCCCTCCCTGCCAGGTCCCATGCCATAGCCTGTGTGAACCAGTTCATCATGGACCGGGCCCAGGCGCTGATGGACAACATCGACACCTTCATCGAGGTGGGCTGCCGGGCTGAGGGTGAGCAGGGCAAGGGCCGAGGGCCGGGCTGCAGCTGATCCCACCCTCCCTGCAGCACCTGTTCGCCCTGGCCGTGGACGACGACCCTGAGGTGCGGAAGAACGTGTGCCGTGCCCTGGTGATGCTGCTGGAAGTGCGGATCGACAGGCTCATCCCCCACATGCACAGCATCATCCAGGTGTGCATGGCTAGCCCCGGCGTGCTGTAGGGTGGGCGGCAGGCGGGGAGTCACCCCGGGCTGGGCCAGGCCTTAGCCTTTTTCCCACCCTGCCCTAGTACATGCTGCAGAGGACCCAGGACCACGATGAGAACGTGGCTCTGGAGGCCTGTGAGTTCTGGCTGACGCTGGCCGAGCAGCCCATCTGCAAGGAAGTCCTGGCCTCCCACCTGGTCCAGTGAGTGCCACTGCTGCCCTCTGTCCCACCTCAGCCCCCACCCCTCGCTGTACTCTGCCTTCCCTCTGGTTGTCTCCTGTGTTAGTCTCGGTCTGTGTTCTCTGTCTCCGCTTACTTTCGATCCCTGTGCGTTTCTGGTTGGCAGGCGATAATTTCCAATGACTTAAAAATGTGGGGGCTCCTGGGTGGCTCAGTGGGTTAAGCGTCCGGCTTCAGCTC